TTTCTTTGACTGACATATGCCACTGCAGCCGCACTTTTTGCTGGCATGAGCCAACAATAAATACCGGCGGAGCAAGCTAGTTTGGACAGCTCGCCCAGCCGCAATCCCTCATTATTTCAAGGGGGAGGGGGCTGTCCTTGTTTGAGGGCTTTCAGCGGTTTTCTTTGTTTGTTTTCTCATTTGCAGTCAACTCGCCATTCACAATTTCGTAATCGAAATCGATCTGGGGATGTTGCCTTAATCGAGCATTTATTCAAAACAACCTCCTAACTTTCTTAAGATGATTTTTTTTTCGCAGATTTGGAAAGAGGGTTTGAGATCAGCGTCCGAAAACACATCCTTGTATGATTATTGGCCACTTCGACTTAGGATCCCTCTCTTGTAGGCATCAGAGTAGGTAAATTTCACTCGAAACGATGAACGAACACCAGAGCGACTGTTAGCCCTACTCAGAGTTCTTCACTGAAGTTCTGCACAGAAGAATTGAAATATCTCAAGCAAGGGGAATCTAAGGCCGCTTTCATAGTCTGCGCCGTCCGCGAACGCCGTCCCCACGGTCCGTGCGGACCGCACTGGCGCATGACGCGCAAGGCGTCGACTCTGCGCCAAGTACGCGTTGTGCGCCAGAGCGCGTGTTGACGCTCTTCGCACTGTCCGTGCGGTCCGCACGGACCGTGCGGACGGCGTTCGCGGACGGCGCAGACTATGAAAGCAGCCTAAGGGAGTACTGTGGTACACGACAGGTACAGTGAGGAAGTTGTTGGCGCTCGCTCGAGAAAATCGATGAGCAAACTGACCACAAGTGGTGCAAAGGAGCAATAGTGAATTTACAAGATCAAAAATAGCCTCGTTGATTGTAAAAGGCGGTATGGAATGGGAAATTCAACATGATATTTTTCAAATCGCAGCAAAGACGTAAAGCGGAATGGACTCTAGAAAACCGCTCACAAGACAATTCCACTAGCAAGATGTGGCACAGCTAGAGTTACAGTGACACTAGTAGCAGTGCGTTGTTCATCCAGAAATCGCATGATCATCAACATCTCTGACTCGCTTGATGGATCATTGATTCTCGAGCAACCAAGGTATTGAATCTGAAGACCAACAATATTCCCAGATAATAAATAAATAAATAAAACTAAGTTACCAACGTTTTCAAATACAGTCTTGTGTATGTCTCCTTCTCGATTCGCGGAAGCGCACCGCTCATTGCTCTGAGAAGGAGAATCTGGAACCAGTTCTAGTACGGCGAGTATAGGAAATCGATCTCTAACCCACCTTTGTTTGAATTGCAAATAGAGTCTGCTATACTGCCAGAGCTATCATTATTTATTTCAGATATCGTCGCAACACCTGGTTCCGTGACTATCCCATCTTTGTTATCCATATCTGAGAACAAGTCCTGTATTGGGATGAAATGAAGTGAATTTCGAATAATCGAATAACTGCGAGCAACAAAAGTCTAGCATCGGTACTCAAGCGACGGGCTACCGTAACTTTGGTACCGTCAAATAACATGCGAGCATGCCGCGACCACAACTTCACGCTGACTTCGACGTCGCCGCTTCGAATTTCGTTATGGGCAACACCAGATGTCTCTTGTTATGTCGGAATTAGTTGTTCGCGAACCATTTTTATATTCTCCTGATGTTTTTGTTGCTGTAAGTTTAACATCAGATGTTTACAAACGTTTTGGTTCATTTCTGCCAAAAATAATAATCTCAAGGATCTCATTAAGTAGCGAACTAAATTATACAAGGCGCTAAGGTACCTGAGGGGACCACGTGGTATCGCGGAGTCTGCTCGTCAGCGTCCCCAAGAATTAGTTTACGTTGCCGTTGTTTTTCAAAAAGCCGCGAGGCGGCAACGGTAACGGCCTGTAAGACTAAACCCTGAAGAACGCTGACAAACAGACGCCCCGACGCCACGTGACCCCTCTCAACTACCTTATCACCGAACCATATCTAGTTTCTCTACATATTGAGATTCGGGCACAATGTGGCTCGGGGGAGAGCGCAGTCATCCGCGCGCGACCTCTGCTCGTCTGCACCCTTCCGGCTGAGAGAGAGAGCATTTGTGGCTGCTATGAACGTGCATATTCAAATTCTAACCACACTACTATAACCGCGCACGTTCAAACTTTGAATAGATATTATAACCGCAAACGTTTAAACCCTCTTGGCGAATATGACCGCTCAGTTGACCGCGCACGCATTCTTGTACTAGCATTCGAGCACCCTCAATCCTCTGTAATGGACGGTAAGGCGGCTGCCAATCTGCTTACTCTACGTGAATTTTCACTATATTCGTCGTGGACGGAAATAGGAAACATGTCTGAGGAAGAATTCGACTCGTGGCTGGCGGATCGTGGTTTCTGTGGAGGAGTCGGAAGTGTCCGAATTGCGGAGAGCCGCGAGGTGTAACACGACAGTCAGGATTGCGTGATCAAAATGTCACATTGAAGATTGAATATTACGAAAGAGACTGCCGACGATAGGGCGTCTCCGTCAAGATTGGGTACCTAAAGGTTACGTTTTTTGAAACTTTGACTTGTTTTTTGAAACTAGACTTGGTCACGCAAACAGCTGTTTTTAGCGTCAGTCCTCTTCGTCAATGACATGGGATCCGTTGAAGCACGCGCGAATGAATGTGGAAGTTGATCCGGTACAATATCTCAATGGGACCAATGGTTCCGTGATGACATAGTAGATCATTCACAGGGATTGATAACCCTATTGGAATTGGAGGCCCCAAAACAATTGTGCAAGTCGATGGGAAGCATATTGTTAAAAGGAAGTATGCGAGGAAGATTAGTTAGAGGCGATTGGATCGTTGGCGGCACTGAGAACGGCTCTAAGCGTATTTTCGTGGAAATCGTTGATAAGCGCGATTCCGCAACTATCGATGCGATTGTCCTAAAGCACATCCTCTCAGGAACAACCATTCATGCAAATTCCTGGGAAGGATACAACAACCTTAAAACCATCGGATTTATCCACGAAACGGTCAACCATGCTGAGAATTTTGTTGGCCCGGAACACTGGGGTGCACACTCAAAGAATAGAGTCTGCATGGTCTCACATAAAGCGTGCCCTCAAAAGAAAAACGGACTTAAAGGAGCACTCTGGGATAATCACTTTTTCGAAGCGGTATGGAAATAGCAGCGCAACAAGGAGGCAAAGCTGTATCTATTATGAAACAAAAATCCTCTTGCAGGGTGACAGGTCGTTTTCTTACGT